CGAATTCGTCTGACAGTGGACTTGGTACATTTTCAAACGTTTCGCCAGCATCATCAGTGAGCTTTGCCATTCTCCGCTCCAAGCTACGAACTTGTCAAAGAGACAAGTGAAATCAATCCCTCGACAACCAACTTCGATATTTTTTATCGCTCAAACGTCTCGATTATGTGTATTTTAAGAAGTAATTTTGAGTAGAATTTTTTTGTTTTGCTTTGCTTTCACATTCTGATAGCCCAAACTGCTAAAGGATATCTCACCGACAATTTTTTCTATACGTTTTTCTGACCCTTTAGCATCGTAATGCCTTCTAGAGCTTCTCAGATGAGCTTTTTGAGCGCGAATTCGTCCAAGATGTCCTTCAACAGAGTACTGAACAACCGTTCTGTCTTATAGTGTCACATTTCCGATGGACAGACACTTAAACGTGCTCATTTTTAGGCTCAACTTCTTAAGCTGGCCATTATCGATAACGTGCTCCGGAGGTTGCCAAGTTGAGCATATCATTGAGGTTGACTCGAACGATGAAGAAGAAATAGTCTATTCATAATCAAATCGACAAGACTGCTGAGGACACGAGAGTTTGAATCATCTCCTCTCCTTTACTTTTCCTTCTGCACGGAAGTCTGTCTGGCGCAGTGTGTCGCCATTGCAATTTCGTTCTTTTAAGTTGTCCGATTGCCTAACCCCAATTCCGGACATGTCGATTGAGCCCAACTGCGCTTCGCCAATTTTCGCCCTCCTGAGCAGTACTTCCCACAGGCTTCCCCGTGAGGCTCAACCTAATTCAGACCGGTGCATCGATCGAATCTTTCGTCAGGCCTAGCTTGTTTAGACTGTCTCGATAATTTGTCGATCGATGCGAGCATCTTTCACATCCAAACCTATGCCAGAGCGCACTATCGTGTCCCTCGTCGCGTCAGTTCACTTTTTAAGCCTCAGCTCTCAGCACCGTTTCGCCTGCGCCGCTCTAGTCCTGAGCAATCAGCCATTCAGAGTGTTGAAAGCTGGCGGACCCAGTCTAACTACAACACCTTGTCGATGCTGCAAAGCCCATCATAGAGCAGATGATGTATGGTCGTTTAACTGCTGGACTTTGGATAAATTGTCACGCTGACGTTTCATAACACGACCCTATGTCTAGTTGACGCCGGATAAACTCTGGATAAAAAGCTTTTTTCCCTTTGAGTTAAGTCTAAATGGAAGAGGGCCAAGCCAACTGAGAAGTCGGATCCAGACGACGCTATTTTGCAAGATTGACTAGTATTACCGCCACAAAGGACAC